TGCATAACATGGACCAGTCTTTTGGTCAATAAGATGAGAGGAGCTGATGAGGTTGGCTACTATTGAAGCTGACCCCAACTTCAGTTCCTTATACTTCCTGTTCCAAACAATTCTAGATATTTCTGTGCTGCACCAAAATTGTACTTACATCCATGGTGTTTGACTGGCATCCAGTTCCATTATAAGGAAGCATGACAATAATCTGTATGTAGTTCAATCATAAATATATACAATTAACCGAGAAAAGAAAATTTTTGATGATTAATGTTGATACCATGTTATCTGTCCAATAATAATTGAGAACAGTGCGGTTTTAAACGTCCACAAAACATTTAAACACTTCAATGCACAGTCTGTTTGTGCATCATGGATTTCTTAGCAGGATATACAGTAGTTCCAGGTCATGAATATTTGTTTATGTATATGTATGTTTCACGATACAGATATAAAAAATATCGCGGTACCGCCTCACAATTTTAGACTGGACCTGGACATAAGCAGAAGGAACTGTACCTTCTCATAATATTTGATCTCGTAGTCGAGGATGGGCAGTGTTGTTTGTTCGGGTTGTTGCCAGGAGATAGCAATGCTGTTTGGAGAGGCCCAGTCCTTCTTCAGAGCCCCAACTAGAGACGGACCTGGTTTGAACACAAAATATAAAATGTAGACATCAGCTTTAATGTCTTTACTCTAGTCACAAGAATTTCAGTCCAGCCATCCTTGGTGAGTATCTTAAAGAATAAAGTGAATAAAATAAATAGGGTCAATGCAATAGAAATAAAAACAGCACAAGTTCACACAAGCTAACTGATTATAAATGAATGCAATTCCCCTCCAATCATTCTGCTCTTATCTAAATGTTTTTACACAGAAACTTAAGGAATAAACAATTACAAAAATACCAAAAACTCTTTTTGAGTGGGGCCAAATTTAGGTGCGCTGCTTAATTGTGCATGGGAAAGACTGAACACCACTGTAAAGCTTGATAAAATATGATTTTTGAAGTGTCTGCTTGTTGTAGCTCTTCAATTTCAAGGTGACTTACTGATTTGTTAAATTTACTTGAATTTAATCAGCCATGTATTTTGTTGACTGATGAGAACTTCTTAAACTGCAGTCCAGATCATAAAGTTTTCAATCATTAAAGATTACACATACATTTAACACAGCAAGTTAGCAAAACATTATAGACAAGACATCTAATTATTTTAATTTAATGTCATAAAATGATATTAATGAGCATGCAATTGCATAAAGATCACTGGAACAAGCATAAGGATATTTATGTGTCACAGTTTGGAAAGAGTACACTGAGACTAAGTTGTATGGATCAGTGTCCATACTAGTTAGTGCCATCTAGCAGTGAAGTTGCATATTGCAAGCGTGTGGGAGAAACTACGGTGTCCGTGTTACTCATGCAAAAAGTGAAAAGCCCTATCCCAACAATTCATCATTTTCATTTTCAGGTGATTATCCACTAATGAAAACAAACCTATGAATATTATATTCTATTTCTGCCAATAGATCCTCCTAAATGTTACACACTGGACCTTTCATGCAGCGTTATTGTCCAATACTTTGGTTTAGAAGCAGATACCTATAAAACCAATGACATTCCCTTTAACCTCAGGTGTACTTTGTGCCATGTGTTAGCATGCTAATATGCTAAGCTACAATAAGATGATGACTGTATTCAACATTACCTGCTAAATATCAGCTTGCTGACATTGTTACTTTAACCATGGTGCGTGCTGATGTTACCATTTAGCCTAACTACAGACTCACAGAGCTGCTAGCGTGGCTGTGGACAGTCAGTTTGAGAAGAATGTGCACTGAATACTGAGTGAGGAGTTTTTTTCTAAGCTGCAGCCAGTGCACAATGAAGGTGTATTGTACAAAAATAAATCCAATGGCTGACACCCACAGTAGACGTATGTCCACGTTGTCAGCAATAATCATCTTGAATCCATGCTCACACTCAATTAGTCTATTTCAAAATAGGCTTTAGTTTTCAGGTTGGAGGGGAACATTTTTTCGCAGAGCTCTTTCGTTTCACCCATAAGACGATTTTGTTTAATTGAAAATAAGTTGAGGAAGCTACATCTTCTTTTCTTGGACAGAATTGCATTAGCTTTGCTCTATGAATTTCTGCTGGGTAAATAATTGCACTGAGCTCCCAAGAGAGGTCAGCAGATGTAACTGCCCAGAGAGTCATTATTATGTATTATATCATCTAATGTTACAGAGCTGACTCATTATGTGCATATAAAACGTAGGCCTGTTATTCTCATGTGTATTCAAAGTGAAATGATGACACTGACACTATTTTTCTTTCAATTATTTTACAGTAGTGTGGCTGGGGAAGCTGTTTGTAGTCCTCATTTTGTCTGAGGCTGGGTGTTAGGAGAAGCTTTGGGTTCACAAGGGGATCGAGGATGGAGGTTTAGGGTTTGGGGGTTGTGGGGGAGAGTCTTGGGGTTAGGGTTTGGGGGCTGGATAAGATGAGAGCCGTGGGCTGTAGGGGGCTGAGCTTGTTAGCCAGAGACCTACTGCTAAAGAAGAAGCTAAAAGTGAACACCTCTGTTCCTTTCATCCCCCTCTTACTTGCTTCTCTCTTTTCATCCCCACCTGCCTTTTTCTGTCCAATCACTCTCCATCTGTTCGATCTGCTTTATCTCTTCAAAACCTCATACATGGTTGGAGTTTAAACCATGTACCTCCTTCTCCAAATCTCCCTCCGCACTCAGTTGGGAGAAATTAATTATCAGCATATTAGGGAGCAAGAAAAGAAAAAAAGATAAGAGTTCATACTTGGTTGGAAAGGGAATGGAAGGGATGGAGATTGATTTTAAAACAGCGTTTAGCAGAAGGAGAGTAGAAAGGCACAAATTCTCTGGATTAAAGTCAAGCTACAAAGAGTTGAGTATTTAAAAGACAGATTTTAGTTGCCTCCCATGGTGCTGTGGTTCTAATATGATAAGAGCAACATTCAGCTAATCAAAATGGCATTATATTGTATTTGTTAATGTAAAAAGAAGTGTATCAAAAGTAGGATAGCTATAAAAACAACTCTCATTTCACGGAAATGATTTACAAACATGTCGGCTATTTTTCATGTCACCAACTCATGATTACAAATGACTAAAACGTGCAACTAATCGAGCAGCCAACAACTCAATAATTTTAACTGGATCAAAACTTGGTGACCGTTGAAATAGGGCTGGAGGGGTTAGTTGTACTGTGCAGCATTTAGTAAAGAGCAACAGTCACTTTTACTTTAAATACATTTAAATGCTTGGCTTCTCCTTAACCTCCATGTTAATAACCATTTAAAATGTGGTAGGCAGTCTGAAATGCTAGCAAAAATAGAACAACATAATATCATGCGTGAGTGAAAACAGCTAATAATAATAACATAATCAGCAAGCTCAAAGGGCAGGGTGCGTATATGCATACATGTTGGGGTTTATTGTATGTGAGTGCATGTATGTGTGCATGTTTTTATCTTAAATAGAGATTATGGAGCAACTGGAGTAGAAAATAAACCCTCTTTCTTCCAGCAACACAATAAGCCAACGCTGCTGACATCTTATTAGGCGTTATTATTACATATAACCTCTCATATAACCATTTTACTCAGAGTGTGCTCATATCCTCTGCTCTGTCTGTCCTCAGTGGCAGAGAAAATTCATCTCAGGGGGATTTTATCTGATCTAACTCTGTCTAATGAACCACTCTGTTGAAGCTGCGACGTTGCAGGGTTTCCTGCTCTGCTTATGCCAGCTGGGTACAACAGTGGCGGCAGGGAGATGTGGTTTGCGGCTAGAGTCATGCAGTGGAGGCATCAAACTAAGACACAGCAAGATGGCTGGCATCTGCTGTTAGCATATTGGCCCCTGATAGGGAACAATAAACAGCCTAAATACAATCTCCCTCTGACTCACAGATTCAAATCAGCCTCCCACCGCAAGGCACTGCAAAATGCACACTCACACGAGTTGTGCAAACAAACAAGGAAACTCAGTTTGCAGGAGGCACATGCACACAAAACGTGTGCGCACACAAACAGTCGAGAGCAGTATGTTTGTTGGAGAAGCAGGACGACTGTCTGGCTGGCAGAAAATAATAGCCGGCAGAAATGTGGCAGCTCTGCTTGCACGTCAAGACGGAACTCATCATGACACAACACACAGAAATTCCTTCCCACAGCAATCATACAAAACCCATAGTTGGTCTAATTGAGCCATTTCACAAACCTAAAAACAACGCAGTATATTTTTGTTTTCATCTAGGGGCTATATTCTTTACTAAAAGATGCTGAAAAAAGGAAGTCCTTGTTACACACCTGATCATGTTGTCCAGTTCAGTTCTCCTTAATTTCACCTCTGGCTTTTTTTTAAGTTGCTGAGCTCACACTGTGGATGTAAGGTTATGTGATGATGCATGCTGGATTTTACACAATGGATAGGAGTGTGCTAGTATATGCTTTTAGACTGGAATTAGCGCTATGTAGATAGATGTACATTGAATATAGTATTAGCATTGGGTCTTTTAAAAAAATTGATGAGTTAGTCAATGTTGTATAGATCTGTGTTTCTACTTTTTGCACTACGTACCACCTCAAAAAATATTAGGCTCTCCAAGTAGCACCATTATGACCAACGGTAAAATTCTGTAGTGTAGGCTGACCCTATTCGGGACATCTCACGGGACATCTCACGCAGGAGGCAGATTTATTCTTAATAAGATTATTTATTGCTGACAGTTATTGAACCATGAATGAACCAGTACAAGAAACATATATTTTAGAGAATCCTCCATGTACCATAAGTGGCAGCATAGTTTGAGAACAAGTGGTCTATATGTATTGTAATAGACGTTTATATAAGAGCCATGCTACTGAAGCATAGACATCATGTTGTTCCATCATTCCTACATCACAATAATTTCACTTAGACATAATTTTACACAGAGTTCAAACACACAGTCTGTCTCTGTGTGCACAGTGGGTACACACTGTTTATTTCCAAAGAGTGGAGTATGAAACACATCACTGTCTCCAAGATACTTTGAGGACACAGGACACAATGCGGCCGTCTTTAATGATTCTGTATGCGGGTTATTAGAGCTGCAGCATGAAATCTGCCAGAGGAACTCACACTTTTTCTCTGAGATGCAGCACCATTGGAAAGCCATTAGAAACACCAGTCAATTACGATGCCCGATGGATGGATTTTCCAGTCAAGCGTGGTTAAGCTCAACATAAACTAATGGGGAGTCTTTAAATGAGCTTGACCTGCATATGATTTTAATTAGCTTTCCTGCCCTAAAGGCTTCCATTAACTGTTTGAAAAAATCAATAGAGCCAGTATTGATGCTGTGCGAGAGCTTAAACGATGTCCTAACACTCTACTGATTCACAGCCGATAGAGAGACAGGGTAAGAAAGAAACACACATACACAATATAGGTGCCCTTGTTTACAACTGTCATATTGATATGTCTGTCTCCTTTCTAGGTGTCTGGTTGTGTTTGTCTCGCGGCCGACCGAAATTGGTCTTTCAGCATGCGTCTTCATGGGTGAATATAATGAAAAGATTTATGGGAACAAACCCGAGCACACAAGCTGCACAAACATACAAATAATCAATTCACCTGAATTTGATTTGATTGGATTCTAATTAGTTCAGTTCAATACCATCTGACTCAATTCCGAGCACTGCCTGCCATCGACAAGTACGTGGCGTGCTTCAGAAGCACTTCACAGTTGCTTCAGGGAACTAAGGTAATAAATGAATGAATTGAAGCTGTCGCCAACGTTACCACTGGGACCTCAAGTAATCAGCTGGAGCAGTGTCACATTTGTAGAATCTGTAATGTCTGTGTGTGACTGTCTGTGTGTGTTTGTGACTTTGGTTTTGTGTGTGCTGCTTTTACAAACCAAAAGACAAAACTGAAGTGACATGGGGTCTGCTTTGGGAACTATCATCATTACCCTTCATTAATGCTGGAGGTCATTCCCATTACACTGTGGGTCATCTGCTCTCTGTCATGGACTCCAAGCATAAACACACAATCCACACAGAGACCCAACAACAGTCAAATAAACTGTTGGGTCTAATTATAGAGAGTTGATATCCAACTTAAATAAGTGACTGGTCTGCGCATCTCAATCAAGCACAGCATAATTGAAATTGACCTCTCTGTAATCCACACTAGAATTGAATCCCCCAGTGTCTGATTGTTGGACTGTCAAGGTATGTGTTTAAGGAGGACTTTGACATTTTCTTCTTTCATGAGAAGGATGATACCACTCTCATATCTTAAGTATGGAGCTATAGACAGCAGGTAATTACCTTAGCTTACCATAAAGAATGGAAGCAGGGGGAAGCAGCTAGCCTGAGAGAACATCTAGAACTGACTAATTAACATGTGACAAAAAACAGAAGTAAAAACCAACCAACTGCACAAAATGGGCTGACAGTAAACTGTTTGTCAAGAATTAGTTAAACTACATAACGTATGGCCTGCCCCTCTCTCCCTGTCGTTTGGGATTATTTCACCCACGATTCTAACAACAGCCGGTGAGCCATGTGTGGAGGAGACTCGCTGTTAATCAAAACGTTCTAAACCAACGTGGCAGTGAATGGCACCAGCTGATGTGTTTGCTGCTATTCACTCTTGTTTTACCTGGTCCGTGCTTGTAATATATCCACTGTATTTGCGACAGTGAACGTCTGTCTCTCTGTTTCTCTGCAGATCAGTGTGATTGTCACTAGACTGTACAGGAGGGACAGAGCGAGGGGTGATTGTCCACTAGTTAATTGACCTTGGATACTTACTGAGATTGAGAGATGCTTTTCTGAAGCAATGGTGCAAAACACAATGTTACCTCATAGCTTATTTTAAATGAACTGAACAATAGATAGACACCAGCAAACTGAATGGTTCAGATTTTTTACTTGAACCATTTCATCCCTATTTGGGCCTATCGTTGATTTATCGATTGATATTGGGATGTAAAGAGAATGTCAACAAATATACCAAAAATGCCTCTAAAATACATTACCTACCCTAGCTTTAAGCACAGCTTTGCCCAAACTTATCCGAACATGAACTACTCCCTAATTCACTCATTCACTGTTCTACATAATAAACACTCAATAGTTTACTCTATGGTAAGCATAGAGTAAAAGTATTTTTGACACAATATCAATATTTCTTCAAAACGTCCGCTATTGTAATACGTTTGCTTTAAGAACTTTTAGGAGCTTCAGATTTGGTCTTCAAAGATGATGCTTGTCATTGAATAACATCTGTGCATAGGTACATAATGACTGCTTCTGAATCCACTGTACCTGCGTACCATGTGTAGTTCGACATTCCTTCCTCCATCTCCTTCACAACAATCTCCATATAAAGTGCTGCAATTTTCTGGCCAATCATCTACAGCAATCTCTCTTCCTCCTGTGGCGATATGGGCTTCTTTTTCTAGAGGCATATTGTTGCTGCCTGCAGTCTCGGTGAGGAAAAATGGATGTGACCCCTATGACACTAAATAGCTGTCAACCGGATCTAAACTGGGACAGTTTCTTGTTCTCCCTCGGTACACCTGCAATCTCCCCCTGCTGTGGTAGCTGTCTTTAGTATGACAGTGGAGAAAAGCTACTTAGACTCCTTTGCCCCATCCAGATGGTGGCTACAACAGTCACCCGGACCATTTATCATGTGTATCTGCTGAGTACAGGGAGTTAACAGGTAATTAAAATCATCAGTCACGCAACAAAAGCAAGAATCGGAGAGGCGGAGTGGAAAAGAGGAAAGGAAAGAGACTGTTCTGGGAGTTATATCCACCTTCTTTCTGTGGATTTCTTTGAGTTGTGGTAGGAGAGTGGAGACTGAAAAAAATAAGAGTGAGTGAAGAAAGAGAAAGAAGAAACATTCAAAGAAACATTGTGAGACAGTCTGACTTTGGATGATCTTTGACTTGCAAACAGTCTGTTACATTTAAACCTTTGTCTTCCAATATAAGACAGACAGGCAGATACAAAGCAAAAAGAAGAAGCATTGTCTACTGTCTCGTCGAGGAGGTTTGTGTGCTAGCTAGCCTGTCTGACACTCTTGAGGTCCCGTCTTTAATAGGGTCCCAGCTTGCCACTGATCCCTCTTGTACCCACTTAATGGGGATGTGGAGAAGCAATGACGTGTGGGAAAGGCCAGTGAAACAGGCCCTATACTGGTCCACCACAATCAATACTCATTTGGCCTCCACCTCTCTTTCCCCAAAAGTAATTAATGAGAAGAACGGAAGTATCTGGCCGCTGACAGCTGATTTCCCTGCCGGTCCCTGTCCTTAACACCCTGTCCACTTCTCATACTGCTACATAAAAGCTTCATTATGGTTGAAACCAAGCATTCAGTATTGGAAAGTGACACAAATATGGGCAGACATAGATGTCGATGCGCATAATTGTTCTCGCATAGGTGAGGATAAAAACCTAGAAGAAGAGTTGTCATTCTCACCAGTTTATTGTAAATAGATAAACATAAACAAATATTACGTTTGCAATATAATATTTTGGACAACTTGTCTCATCTAATATGATGGAGCTTGTTTTATTACACATTTATTAAATAATTGATAAGCACACTGTCACTTATTTAAAATTCTAATTATTGTTTGAATGTGGGGAAACAATCAAAATTCTCTTAGAAATCTGCAATGATCTGTTTGAATTATTCCCAAACAGGCTGTCCCTCATTGTACTCTAGCATGGGGTGTCTCTAAAATGCACCGTCCATCTGACCCATTGCATGTCCATCAGACAAATACCCTATTGTTGTTCTTCGCTAATGCAAAATGGCAAAAACAAGCAGTATTCTTCAGATAATCATGACATACAACCATCTTCCATGTTGTGAGGAAGCATTTTGGATTCAACACCATCAATTGATCGTGGACACATTAAGTCTATTTGCTGACTTTGTAAAGTCTTACATAACATACATAGTGGAAAAAAAAATTTTCACAGCCCGAAACCATACCACTTGCCTTGTTTTTGACTTGAATGAATTCTACTGAGACATTTAATTAGGATATCACAATGAGGATGAATGACAGTGATGGTTTTGATGATCATGATTATGGGTTTCAGTATACAAATTAACTTTTAATTAAGACAAAAGCTTAATATAGGAACCAAAGTTGTGGTGAATAAGAAAACATGTTACAAATAAGCCCTGCATATTTGAACAGAATAAAAACTTTTGGTAGCTTCAAAATCCCTCCTCTTGTCTCCTCACTGAATAGGAGTGCAGAGTAGAGGAGTGCCACTGCAGTGGAGGTACAGTATAAATAGTAGTCGACCTTCCTATAGCACCCAGAGCAGACTTACTGCAGCAGAACACACAGCAGGCAGAGTGGCAAAATGCTCTTTCCTATACAGCTAATTGCAAGCAGAGCCATCTATAAACAATCCTGCTGTCAAAGTCAATCATCCTGGAGTTAAAATAGCCCACATAATTGATACAATGCTGTGTGAATGGGTCATGAAGGTTTGTTTGAATATAGAAGTCAGCACGCACTTTAAAAGCACTCATAATGCGTGGTGACAATAAATGTGTAAAGACTAATGCAGTCCTTGTTTGGGCCAATCACTTGCAAACTTCTACAAACGTGTAAAAGGTCACAGTTTCACGTTTTCTATGGAACAAAGAAAATGCCATTTTGCAGCAATGTTTTCACTTCCTGTTAATCTTTTTCTTTTGTTAGCGTGGCACATTACATTGGCTGACTACACAACAGTTTTTATTACCTGGCCTAGAGCGGTGGAGGAAGTATTCAGATCCTTTACTTAAGTAAAAGATCTAATACGACACTGTAAAAATAATCTGTTAGAAGTAAAAGTCCTGCATTGAAAATGTTACTTATAAGTATAATTAGAAAAAAGAACTATAAGTCCACGTGAAACCTGTGGTAACTAATAAGATAGACTAATAGAACTAGATTTTTTGTTATATAAAAATATACTACTAAACTGTATATGGTAAGTAATACTATATCATACTATAATAGTACATATAAAGTAACTATAGTACTATAATAATATATATAATATATCATATGTAGTTGCTTGATGTGGGACTGCAAACTAATGAATTATCTTTATAATAGGAAAGATTAATTGCTGCTGATCATTTCTCAATCAATTTTATGTTTGGTATTGTAACAGTCAAAAATAGTCCATTACCACATAACCCAAGTGAAACATTCACAGTGCTGTAACTGATCCAACCCACATAGTCAACATCAATATCATTTCAAATAAATGATTAAAAAAGTTAAGATATTAGCAATATTCTG